GATTTACTGTATAACAAATCGTCTATACCACAACGTATTTGTTACCAGATATATATTTAATTGTTATAATTAATTACACATCAACGCTCGAATTTGAAGCAGCGCCATGAACGACCCGCGACGTGCTGCCACCTTGAAAAACGTTGCGCATTTGCCAATTTATTTGCACGTTACAGACCGAGGGCTATCACAAAGGTGCAATTATATTTATACCTAAATACTATTTAACCAAACGATGTTCATTTTAAGACAAATTTTATCCATAATATAACTGAAAACTATATGTCATTATAAAATATTCCAATCCTTTTGCTTTTAATGAATAAATAAGAAACACCGTCGGTCGTAGCACTTGGCTGAAAAAGTGGTTTTGCGCACTTATCAATCGTGCGCTTTGAGTGGCGCACCAGTCGTTGTAATCAAACTGTAGTCGTTAGTTTTAAAACATTTTTTAATAATATTTCTAATGGTGATTGAACCATGAAACTTTGTATGTAGGCGTAATTTTAACGCTAAATTAACTGAAATAACCTAGAACCTAGAATAAACGATCCCCTTAAATAATGCAATTGTATTACTACATTTGCCTGCATGAATGCACACGTTCACACAAACACACAATCAAAACACATGCACATGCACATGTAAAACCATCTTCAAACATGTGTATACAATATTCATTCAGGAGAAACCCAGTGTCTTTAATAAACCAGGGGTCGAAATTAGCGGTATCCCGATATCCGCGGGATACCAGATTCTTGTGCGGGATACCAGATTAATTGCTTGGTATCCCGCCGGATAGTAAAAAAAAAATCGTCATAATCGGGATAGTGGTTGTTGAGTTATCAACTTTATACGGCAGCGCATCTGAGCAAGTGCGAGAGCGCGAGTGCGCGCCCTTAGTTACTAATTTACTATGTCACACTAGCGTTTTTATACAGCAGGCATAGCATATTTGCAAGCGCAAGCGTGGCCGATGTTGATCATAATTGTGAACATGTGTATACATTGTATCATGATTGTATCAAGCGAACCAGACAATGCGTCTAGACAATACGTCTGCAGTGTACTGTGGAGGCGTATGTGTATATATCAAGAGTAGATAATAACACATGTGTGTTATTATCTACTCTTGGTATATATCTATGTTAAAATGAATGTCGCGAATGCACTCAGCCCACTAATGATTAGACGCGGGAGCGAGATTTTTATACTAATAATTACATTACATATTAATAATTTTCAAGGCTATTATTGGCATATTTCAAGATTTTGGATACCAACATTGTTGAATATACTATCCAAAAATCCGGGAACCAGAATTTTTGGGGATACCAAGATTCAATACCTGGTATCCCGAATGGATACCATAATAAAAATCTAATTTCGACCCCTGTAAACAGCTGTCCATTTGATATTGGTGGTTGCATGATATAACTGCCACTCAATGGAAATGCCAACTGTTGTTATAGACTTGTGTCGGCTCTATAGAGTCTCTGCCAACACAGGTTTTATGATGATGGGTACACAGACATACTATGCATATATATATAATCGAGAAGTAGATAATAGGGAAGGAGTGTGACTTCATTACAAGGGAAATTCGTCATTTACTAGGCCTTAGATACCTACGATTTACTACACGTAACTCACCAACTGAGCTCAATCGTACACAGTACATTCACCTAGCATCGTGCAAAATCGTTTCCTCGTATACACCTGCCAATCCGGAGATACAGACTAAAACGTAGCGACACGATTATCCATTCTGTTGCAGCAAATCGACTCCATAACGCGCTAACTTGAAACAATAGGCAGTACTAATAACTCTTCTGCAGTCTTGTGCTCGGCGATGCAGTGTGGCTCCGCTGGGAGATTGGACATCGACGCCACTCGGGCGAGCTAATCTTTGACTTATTTACAGCTGGTATGCCCCCACGCATGCACGCCCACCGCCAATCAGCAGCAGCTCCAGTCTCTAATCTCCCAGCGAGCCACGCCGATTGCCGAGGGGCGGCAAGGTCGTTGTAGCTGCCTATTGTTTCAAGTTAGGGAGTTATGGAGTTGATTTGCTGCCACAGAATGGAGAAATCGTGTCGCACGTTTTAATCTGTACTCCGGATTGCGGGTGTATACGACAGAAACTTTTTCGCACGATGCTAGGGATGTACTGTGTACGATTCGAGCTGCAAGTTGATGAGTTTACGCGTAGTAAATCGTAGGTATTATAAGGCTAGTAAATAACGAATTTCCCGTTGTTTATTGAAGTCACACTCCTTCCCTATTATCTACTCCTAATACATATATATTTCTTTTATTCCTTGGTAGTGTTTTACAGCTTCAACAAGTGAGTATTCGTATTTCGGTGAAATATTCGTATTCGCATTGCATATATCATGATCGTGATACGTATCGTATTCGTGACCTAGTGTAATTGTTACAGCCCTAATAATATATATACATACATACATCTATAAGCCGACAAAAACGACAGAAACTAACTGGGTACCTACATGTATGCACTTGACAGGTAAGTCTATGTAGTTGAATAGTTCATGGTGAAACTTAACAGACATGCAGCTGCTGAGGAACACCATGACCTTTTTCTTGCGGTTTTTCTTCAGGAATGTGAACAACAGAAGTAAGCGTTTCTCTGATGGACAGACCACATAACCCTGAAATGAACAATGCATGTATGAACCAGTCAATAAGATATCGAATTTACTGCAATAAACCACCATTTCTGTCCTACCTGGGTTCTCCCCACAACCTTCCCATGAACACATAATTGTTAATTTCCCACTGTTTCAAAAGTATCCCTTTCTGAACCCCCCCCCCCAATAAAAAACACTGTTAAAATATAAATTGTCTTGCCCTAAACACAAAATAAAATATGACACTTAAAGAGGTGAGAATGAAACAAACCTGCTCGAGTCCCTCCACAGTTGCCTTGTCACGCTGGTCATCCACACCAACATACAGTGGCTCTTTCTTCAATGCGATTCTTGCTAGATCCTCTGTCCTGCGCGTCTGTGTCGCGGAGAACAGCATTGTTTGTCGTCGCTCTGAAAAACCGTAGTCGTGTTTCCTCATAATTATGTTCCTAACACAACTCTGCACATGTTCCTAGCACATGTGTCACAGTCAATGCCATAGTGTGCAGATGACTGTGCGTGCATGTGTTTGCATTATAACGAACACATGAATTGTCACCTTATACTTTTCTATAAAATAAGGAAGAATGCAGAAACAGAATAATGAAACTGATAGAGATGACTAATAGAAGAGGATGGAGCAAGTTAGCCTGGTAAAGTGCAGGAATGAGATAAGGAGAGATGCAAGAAGGAAATCGGCATAAAATTGTGGCATCGGAATGACAGTAGGTGAATACAGATAGCTAGATAAAGCGTGCAGGTGGCAGATGGAGAGCAACCGACTAGATGTGAGATAGATATCAGCATTAACTAAGGTACGTAAAGAAATCATTTTGTACGGACGGTCACCATGTCAACCACACTCACTGGGCAAAAGTCGCACAATTGCCTTCATCTCCTCCTCAAACCCAATGTCCAGACATCGGTCTGCCTCATCAATAACCAGACATTGAAGGTTCTTGTACATGAACTGTGGTGTGTTCTGTGATAGCAGTAAACATTTACTTAAGTTAAAAGCATGGTAAGCACAAAAACCCGCTACATGGTATATAAATGGAATAGCAGAACCTGAATCTTACAAACAGGAAGCAAATAGCAAGAATGTTGTGCAAATACAATAAAATTGGGAGGAATTACTAAATTGACACTACACTCCTAAAGATAACCTCCTGCAAGGTCTCACCTGCAAATGGTCGAGCAGTCTGCCGGGAGTTGCTACCACTATGTTAATACCCTTTGCAAGTTTCTCGCGTTCTGCCTGTCTATTGCCACCTCCCATAACGAGCCCATAGGTCTGATGATGATACTGTAGCAGTTCCTTCAGCACCCCAAACGTCTGCATAGAGAGCTCCCGGGTTGGAGAAATTATAAGGACTCCAGTTCCTGTAAAGAGGTACAGGATGAAAAAATTAAACATGACAATATAACAGCATATTGAAAAAAATCAGACAATAAAACACATTTAATGGATATGCGGTATGCTAACATGAGATACGATGTGGCACAAAATAACGCCAGCACCATAAAGATATATCTCAGGATCAGGTCAACATGAAGATAATATTAATTAGACAAGATGTAAAAAGCTTATAATAACATATAGATAATATCAATCACCATTTCTCGGCATGAACTTCAGTTTGTGCATGAGCTCAATGGCGGGTATCAGGAAGCCAAGAGTTTTGCCACTACCGGTGCGAGCCGCCCCCAGCAGGTCTCTGGAACATCATAAAACCATTCACTATCACTGTAACATTTCTGAAACACAACAGCACTAAGCACGTAACCACAAATAACCATATTTCTAAGTACAAATATGGGGGGATAGTACAGTAGATTAGAAAAAAATCGTTCAAATTGTGAAAAAAGTATGAAAATTGGTACACTTGCATACTTTTGTATGCTCTTTCATTTAAAAGCAGGAACCGACCGCCTGCCCTTCTGCCCGGCCGACCGTTGGATGACACCTATATACCTTCTTCACACTTCATTTGCGGGGGTATAATAAACATTATTAATAGAAAAACATTAATTCGCACATGATATGACAAATTTATCATAGCATACAATTTACAATATCTCTCTTTCTGTCTGTGTATCGCTATACGTATCGTATCATGACCTGCATACTGAGATGCGTATCGTATCAAGACCCTAGTGTATCATTACACCTCTAATAGCCTCCTGGTTTGCCTTGATGCCCTCCACGTAAATTCCATGTTTTGTATGTATTCCTCTTTGTTCCACATTAAAAAATGTTGTAAAAAGTACAGACATTTTGACTTGGTGCTACACAATGGTGGGTCATATTGCCTGTATTTATATTTTAACAAACCAAAGCCAACATTTGCCGTCATAAAAAATATAACATCGAACCCTGCATTAAGCGAGGGACACACCATGCGAATTTCGCTGCGATCATATCCACATCGAAATTTGAGGCGAAAATATTCGCACCCTCATGCGAAAGTTGAGCGGACACACCATGCGAAAATATTCGCACGACCACAGCGGACACACTACACATGCTCTACTGTCGCCACACGGCTCCAACAGTCATATGGTCACGTGATTAGCATACTCATCAATGATTCGCTGCATTATAACATCGGCAGGCTTGATTTTCGCTTCCACGGACACACGATGCGAATTTGTACGCAGCGGTAAAAATCCGCAGCAAAAATATCAAACATGTTTAATCGCTGCGAATTTCGGTGCAGATGAAATTCACAGCGAAATTCGCCCGCACTTGAGCGGACACACCATGCAAATTTTGCTGCAGACGTGCAAATAAATTCGCATGGTGTGTCCCCCACTATACTTATGGACCATTTTCATTTACATGGGGCCACTACATCACACCTGTGGCTGGATATTGGCGATCTTGCTCCATGAGAACTCAAACTCTGCCATAGGCACCTTGGCCTGCTTCAAGAAGCGAAGGAAACCTAGCTCCTCTGGCCGCAGGATTAGCAGAGCATGCCCGACTCCTCCCTCCCCACGTGCTGTTCGGCCTACACGGTGGATGTACTCCTGAAGAAAGGAAATGAGCTTATGAATAAATATATGCAAACAACGGCATACGAGATACAACCTGTGCAGCTGTACAGCAGACTGCTAGACATACAAATGATGAGAGTTATATCATGGGATATGATACTGTTACAAATAAAATGTCATTGGACAGCATTCTTCAAATGTCAAATCACACGAACTTTGACAACCTTGACAGCTCATTGTGGTCAAAACAATTTGTTCGTTCACGGAAGATATAGAGACGTTGAAAATTGCCAGGACTGGCGCAGGTTAATAAGTCTCATATTAAAACACAAGACACACAAGTTCCAATTATAAATTACGCGGCCATTATTGCGATCTATACTTCAAATGATCAATGACATAGCTGATAACAGATACAAACAAAACATGGTGAAAATGTTGAATTACGATTTTTCTCAGTATAAACAAACACAATGCCAAACTGGCAATTCGCGAATCCCCAGTGTGAGAGAGAGACTAATTTAGACAACAGTTGTAGTATACAGCTACACAAGAACATGCCATGGCAAGCTAAATAATACTATTGTTTAAGTTAAACAAATGTCTCGAAACTGCGTTGTCCACAAGTTGTCGCAGATTGTCACTCAGTGCGGTACATGTACTGCCACAAACACAAATATAGTATTGTTGTACAGTATAGAATCGTTATGTGCCGTCCGGCGTTATCGCAGGCGTTAGGCAAGGCTCGACACTAACTTCTTTTTTTTCAGTGGCCGATCGGCGCCACCAAATCATTGATTTTCAATTTTTGGTGGCCGAAAATGAAAATCTGGTTGGCCCGAAAAAAACAAAGAAAAACATTATAAAATCTTATCTCAATCCGCTATTGTATATTATTTGAAATTGGGCTCGTCTGATGCACTTGCACAAGTCTTTTAAAACAAACCCCACACAATGGCACACACTGACATTGAGATTGCAGGCATACATTTCGAATTATCCATCCACCGGCATCAATTTTCACCAGAATCTTGCATACATTTTCTACTTTCACTCATTAGTTATCTAACACGCGGGTGCACATGCTATCGATCCAGGTTCAGACGTTCAAGAAGATCAATTAGAGTCACAGAGCATGCAAAATATTAAACAAGTAACTGTAAAAAAACAACATCACATTTGTCTTTTCGATGTTAAATAAAACATATGACATTTAATCTTCATGAAAGTTAAATGTCTGGCCAGGCTTTGAAACTGTATAATAAATATTGCAGATTGAATAAGATAAAGTAGGAACCATAAGTATTATCAACAAGAGCGGGGTCCGCATGCATTCTAAAAAGAAAAAGCGCCATGTGTCTAAGCTTCATATTTCGTTTGCGTAAGGACAGAGAAAATGCATAAATAAACTTACATAAGCACTAGATATTACACTTCGGATTAAAATAACGTGATAATCTTCATGGAAATAGCTTCAGTTATTCGTACCGCGAAACTTCCTCGAACGTGGCAGTTCGCTTCGGATCGAAACAGTGCGCACCAGTGCAGCTAGCTAGCAATCAGCGTGAGCCAGACGCTCCCGATTTTGCCCATGTTTCCCGCGTTCCCGTACCGGACCCTGTCCCGGGACGCATGTGTGTCCCGTATTTTTAACATTTTTGAACAAACCTAGCATCAAAAAAGCGAAAGAGAATTTCATCATTTTTTATTTATGACAATTGTTGTGCCTTCGAAACTCGCCATCGCTTCGCGTTCATTTTACACACGCTCCATCAGTAACATCTCAGCTAGAGCTCATTGTTAGACGCATTGTCTGGTCTCGTGATACAAGTAATCACATGTGTGGCTGACGCTTGCCAAAACTATGCTATTGTACTGGTGCCCTCGCCCGCGAAATTGCTTGCTCTGCTTTTGAATCGAGTTGCACGATAGAAACCAATATTTTTTTATCCACGTTAGACCACTTCGAAATTTTCAGTTGCCGATCGGCCACCAAATTTCAACTTTTGGAAATTGTTGGCTGCGCGCATCAAGTTTTTGGGTGCCCCGGCGCACGCGGCCACGCTAGTGTCGAGCATGGCTATAGGTATCCTGTATATGTGCGTGCCTTAGCGTGCTCGGCGCGCAGTATATAGCTATTGTTACTGGTGCCGTGCGTGCTTGCGCGCGTACTAGCCATCTTATTGGTGCGTGCGTCGTTCTCGGCGGGCGTTATAGGTACCTGTTATCGTGGGCATGCGTGTCTGCTCGGCCGTATATAGCTATCGTGCTTACGTTGCGTGCGTGGCGTTCTGCCGGGCGTATAGGCTACTGTTATCGTGCGTGCGTGCTTCGCCGCGTATATAAGCCTTTCTAGGTTATGTGCTGCGTGCGCTATCTCGAGGGCGAATATCAGGTAACCTGCTTATGTGCGTGCAGTGCTAGGCGCGCGTATATAGCTATCTGTTATGTGCGCTGGCGATTACTCGCGGCGTATAGGGTACTCTGTATGTGCGCGTCGTTGCTCCGGGCGGCGTATCTAGCTTCATGTATGTGCGTGCCCGAGTAGCCGTTCTCGCGGGCATATATTGGGACCTGCTTATGTGCAAGTGCTGTGCTCGCGCGCGTATATATACTTTTGTTATAGTGCCGTGCGTCTCGCGGGGGCGTATAAGTACGTATTTATGTGCTGGTGCTCGCACTGCGTATAATCAGCTTTAACTGTTATGTGCATTGCGTTCTCGCGGGGGTATAGGTACCTGTTGATGCTGTGCGTGCCTCGCGGCGTATCATAGTAACTGTTATGTGCAGTAGCGTGGGTCTCACGGCGGGCTATAGCATATCTGTTATGCGTGTAGTGCGTGCTCGCCGCGACGTATATACGTACCTGTGATCTGCGTGCGTATCTCCGCGGGCGTATAGGTACCTGTTATATGCGTCGCGTGCTCGCGCGCGTATATAGCTTCTGTTTATGTGCGTGCGTCTCGTCGGGGGGCGATATGCGTACTGTTATGTGCGGCGTGTCGTGCGGCGTATATAGCTTCTGCTATTGGCGTGCGTGCTTTCTCGCGGGAATTGGACCTGTTATCGTGCGTGACGTGCTGCGTCTGCGCGTATAGAGCTTTGTTATGTGCGTGCGTTCTCCCGCGGCGGCGTATAAGTACCTGTTATGTGCGTGCGTGCTCGCACGCCGTAGTAGAGCTTCTGGTTATTGCATGCGTTCTCCTGCGGGCGCTGCGATTAGGTACCTGATCATGTGCGTGCGTGGCTCGCGCGGCGGTATTATAGCGACTCTGTTATGTGCGTGCCGTGCGTTCTCACGGGGGGTATAGATATCGGTTATGTGTCGTGCGGTGCTCGCGCACGTATATGGTACCTGTTATATCTGCGTGCGTTCTCGCGCGGCCGCATAGTACCTGTTATATGCGTGTGCTCGCAGCGCGTATATAGCTTCTTTATGGTGGCGTGCGTTCTCGCCGTGACCGCTATAGGTACCTGTTCTGTGCGTGCGTGCTCGCGCGTATATTAGCTATCTGTTATGTGCGTTGCCTGTGGTTCTCGCGGGCGTATAGGGTACCCTTTTGTTATGGGCGTGTCGTGCGTTTCCGCGGGGCGTATCGCTTATTGTTATGTGCGTCCGGCGTTCTCGCCGGGCGTATAGGTACGCTTATGTGCTGTGCGTGCTCATGCGCGTTATAGCTATTCTGTTATTGTGCTGTGCGTGCGTTCTCGCGGCGTA